TGGCAAAAACACTCCCCGCAAAAATTTTGAAAAAGGTATCAACAGTTCATTTTGATGTTTTCAAAGTGAAACATTTCAATCTTTTTAATGAAAGTGACTTAATTTTGAAATAGTCTTCAATTTAAAAAAATAAAATGTTAAAAGCTCAAAATCTAAACACACTTGTTTGACCAGAAATGAATTTTTTCAATTTTTATATTTATCAAACATTTAAAATAAAATGATTTTCTTTGATTTTTCAGAATTGTCAGCAAACGGAAAGATCAGTTATCTTCAGAGTTTTACATGGGATCTCCAATGATTACAAGTAGTCATGATTCATTTATATTTTATTTTGGTACCTGGGTACTAGGATACTAAGTCACTGTTGTCTAATTAAAACAACATATGTGCTGTTGTTCCAGTAAGTAGAAAGGTGTTGGGAGTGGGACTGAAGATTTGGTCCTCACCACATCTGACAACTTGAAGGAAATACATAGGTGAAGAGCCTAAGTGAGTGGAGATTGTTCCACTAGGTGGGTTGTAAATAAGCCAGTTGTTAGCCCTCTAGGAGGAGCCAATCCAAGGTAAGGAGGTTTATTAGTGTAGTTGTAGGTCAGGGATCGGCAACCTTTGGCATGTGGCTCGCCAGGGTAAGCACCCTGGCGGGCCGGACTGGTTTGTTTACCTGCTGCGTCTGCAGGTTCAGCCGATCGCAGCTCCCACTGGCCGCGGTTCACCGCTCCAGGCCAATGGGGGCTGTGGGAAGTGGCGCGGGCCAATTGTGCCAACCCCTGTTGTAGGTCCTTCGTTTTTGGTATTTACCAATTTAAGTATCAGAGCGGTAGCCGTGTTAGTCTGTATCCACACAAAAAATGAGGAGTCTGGTGGCAGTTAGTTTTTAAGGTGCCCCCGGACTCCCCGTTGTTTCCAATTTATTTAGTAAAACTCCTGGTCTTTTTCAAAACTCTTATTTAGGTTTTTACCAATTTTCACCCAAATTTTGGCTTTTTCAGGATCTGAGCATTTTTTGGACAGGCAGGGTGCCAGGTCCTGGCAGCCAAGACTACCTGACTACTGCAGTGACAGGCCCGCAGGGAGTGGAAAGCTGCACCCTATAAGTACTGGACTCCAGCCTAAGGCTTGGTCTACACTACCCCCCCTAATTCGAACTAAGGTACGCAACTTCAGCTACGTGAATAACGTAGCTGA